GGTTGCATTTTAATAATTTATAACCATGGATGAAAAAATTTGAGTATTCAGTAAAATGAGTTTCTGTTATAATTGCAATGTCTATCCGTTTAGTATGAAGGACAGTTTGTAGTTCATTAATGTGGTTTTTTAAACCATTAGCATTAAACTGAAGGATTAGTAATGAATTGTGTGTAAAGGAATGACTAGTCATTTTTCTTATCGAGCAGATTGGAGATAACTTTTGTTAGGAGAGATATAACGGGATTGATTAGAGACTTAAGGTCTTCGAGGAAAGTTGACATGACTTTATTTATATCTAACGAAGGTGGAGAAATTTGATTATTAGTATTATTGGAAGTAATTTGAGCATATGTTTGTTTTGGAGATGTGTGGTTAACATTAGGGAAATCTTTTAATGAGTGGTTGTCTTGTTGTACATTAAAATTCTTATTTTTAAAATTATCATATAAAAAATTACTTTTATGTGTAGATTTTTTTCGTTGTTGCAGATCTCTGTAAACTGAACATCCTTTGTAATTGGCTGGGTGGCTACTTGAGCACAGTGCACATTTTGGAGGTTGTTCACGAGGCTTTGAGCAGTTAGACGACATATGATTAGCTCCACAGCGCACACAACTCGGTGGGTAACCACAGGCTTTTGTGTGACCATAATCTTGACAATTTATGCATTGACTTATAGTTTTGGGTTCAACTTTAATCTTTGTATGTAATAAGGAGGATAAGTCATATATTTCTTTAGATTTATCATTTGGTTCCAAGTCAACAAAGAAGAGTGGTAAGGGATTTTTTTCTAATTTTATGAATAACGTTAATTACTTGCCTAACTACAAAAAGTCTAATTTCAAGTTCATTTTTTATTGTATCCACCGAAGTAGTAGGATGTAAATTGCGGATCACTATGCGTAAAGGCTTGTCTTCTTTTAACTGGTAGGTGTGAAATTCCGCTTTTTGTTCTTTTAAGAACCGTACCAGTGTTCTATACGAATCTGGATTTTTTGTTTGTATTTTAAGACGATCTACTGTTGATTTACATATGAAATTGTCCACTCCAATCAATTCAATAAGAGCAGTGCAAAGATCAGTGAAGTTTTCCACACCTTTTATGAAAATAGGGGGAGGGATTTTGATTGGTTGTTCCGAATTATTTTCAGGGAGAACCTGATTATGAGTGATTTCAACATCATTTTCATCATTAAGTATTTCATAGCGGTTTGAAGAGTGGAATAGTTTAATACTTTTTTTGCTAGTAGTGATTGAGGGAGGTGAACCAGTATTTGAGTTTGAAGAAGAAGAATGTTGCCTTTTATTGGGAATCTTTTTCCAGCCATCGGCAGTATTATTCAACACAATAGGCGAGAGCTGATTATTTGTGTTATTATTACGATTAACGTGATTATCAACTTTGTTAGTTGTTATAGACATGACGGCGGCGGTAATTTAGATAAGAGGCCGTCGTGCGACAGCCCAACAAGATAAGTACCACAGGCAATGACGTGTGGATAACCGACACGGCACTGCTTTACGTTTGCTGTTTAAATATAATAGTTTTTTTTTTTTTTTTGATTTTTACTTTTTTAACTTACGTTTACGTTTTATGTATGCAATCCATAGAATAGACGATTTGTAGGATAAGACTGTTACATTTTTACAATAAACTAAATTAGATTAGTATACCACTATAACGGAAGAAAGGGGAAAAAAACAGAAAGACGGAGCTTAAAAATACCCGTGTATTCAACGACTGCTGATAAACGACTATAAAAAATTAAAAAATTAAAAAAAAAAAAGTTAAATTAAAAATTTATTTACAAAAAAAGTCAGTTATAAATTTTTGTTTAACAGATGAAATTCTTGACTTAGTTGCAATAGCTAATGCACGCTTTTCTCAGCGTGTCAGGTCTAAGTTCCTCCCACGACTCTGCAATCGTATAAATAGCATCTTTGATGTTGAGGGATTTCATAGCTTCAAATATGTTACAACCTTCTTCGGACTTTTCTAAAATTGAACTGATGTACTTTTTACGATAGCGCCTCTTTAACCATTCTATCACTCCCTGATCCATTGTTTGGATAAGTGATGTGACATTTGGAAGAAGGAAGATATCTTTAATGTCACCTTTCACTAAATCTTCTTCTGACGGATGTGATGGTGCGTTATCCAACAGCAATAGAGCACGAACGGGAAGCATTTTTTGTTGCTTGAAGTGCTTGAGGATATATCCATGTTTGCAGTTGAGTTCTGACGTTTCGAACTCATTGCAGAGTTTATTGTATAGTTGTAGCCACCGACTAGCAACCATCACTCTGAAGATGGACTATGCAATGAGTCCGAAACGTCAGAACTCAACATCAAACATGGATATATCCTCAAGCACTTCAAGCGACAAGACAATCCATGAAAGCTTTAACACATTCATAGCATTTTTTGTTTCAAGTTTTTTTCAACAGATAGAACAAACTCGTCGAAGAACCAATATTTGAAAAGATTGTAATCCATCCAAGCAGATTTTTGATTGCGGTAATAAACCGTCAAGGAAGATATATTTATGTTTTTGAATGCCCTAGGCTTCTTATATTTACCAATAACGAACAGCGGAAGCTTGTGTGAACCATCACCGTTGCTGCAAGGAGCAATGGTTAGCCTATCTTTCATAAGTTTCGTTCCTACGACTGTTTCATTTGATGCAGCGAGCGTTTTGTTTGGGAGCATTTTATAGTTTAGGCCAGTCTCGTCTATGTTATAAACTTAACAAGGTAACAGCTTATTTTCTTTGACAATTTTTTGAAACTTCACGGAAAATTCCTTAGCCGCCTCAGCATCAGCAGATAGTTTTTCACCAGAAATTGAAACAAACCGAACGCCGCACAGTGGAATGAAACGCCGATTTAGGCGGCCAAAAGTATCATTTTTTAAAAGTCACTTAAATTTTTTTTTTTTAGCAAAACACATTAATATCATACTTAAGGGTTTTAATACAAATTTTCAAGGGCATAAGTTGATTTAGTGAAGGTGTAGAGCTATTTTAATTTTTTTCATAGTATAGCTAATGACTTGCTCTACAAGCCACATGTATGGATTAACGTGTAATTTTGCGTAATTTTTAGTTAATCTCTTTAAACGAGAAAAACTAGAGAAAAAAACGAAAAAATTCGATTTTTTTTTAAGTATAAATATGTTTAATTCCGCAAAAATAAAAAAAAATCTTTTTTTTCTTTTTCATTTGAAAAAGGATATCTTTTTTAATAGGAATAAAAAATTTTTTTAATTTTAAATTATGTTTTAAGGCATAAAAAAAAATGTACAAAAATAAACTCAAAATAACTGAAAATACGGATAAATTTTAGAAGTATAACATTAAAATAGCTCTACACCTTCACTAAATCAACTTATGCCCTTGAAAATTTGTATTAAAACCCTTAAGTATGATATTAATGTGTTTTGCTAAAAAAAAAAAATTTAAGTGACTTTTAAAAAATGATACTTTTGGCCGCCTAAATCGGCGTTTCATTCCACTGTGCGCCATGACGTGTTTTCCAGCGATCAATCCAGCCTTCACTAGCTGCGAACTCACTTTCAGCTTCTAATTTTTTGTGCAAAGATATTGCTTTTTCTTTTATAATGGGTCAGATATCGGGGTTCCCCTTCGTCTTTCTAGACAGAACCACATCCACAACGCGTTGTCAAGCAATTCAAGTTTAGGTTTTCTCAACGTTTTCCGATACTTAAGGATGTTTTCACTATCTATCGTCACTGTGTATGATTCAATGTCTTTCCGATTTTTTCTCCAGTCTTTTGTAGTCGTAACGCCTGCATTGAGTTCCTTGGCAATATTTTGGAGTGATTCCTCTTTGTCCAGTCTTTGTAACTCTGTTAATTTTTTATTTAATGAAAGAGTAACATGCTTACGTTTCACTCCTGACATGTTGAAATTAAATTATGTACACACAATTGACGCCATCGGGATATTACCGTCATACTGATTTGGATTTCATCCGGATCAGATGGTAATACTCCGTGTTGTGCTTTCTGGAAGTGCAAATTAATAAAACCGAGATGCCTTATCACTTATCGGTGACCGTCGGCGTTGATATAAATATGAGTCAATGTCCGACGGCCATTATCTAGTCTCGATTTATGTACACACTAATGTACAAAAATAATATGAGAGATATTTCAATACTGAAAATAATAGGAGGTAGCATGCGATCGCGAGTAAATCATTAGCAAGTCGAGATATGTTTTTCGACTCTGACAACGGTCGGATTAGCCGGAATGACGGACTAGCCGAGGGCAGACTAGAGAGGTTCTACTGTATTTATCTAAAAATATATAAAATAAAATAATGCTATTAAATAAATATTATATATCCTAATATATTTATTTATTAATTTCTACATGGGCCTTAGAATACTATTAAACGTTTTTTGAAATTGTGTAACTATATATTAATTTAAACTAAAATGTAAATTTCATATATTTTCAATAAATCTATTGAGTTTAAAACTAAAAATATATTAAAAATTTTCAATTAAAACTAAAAAATATAGAAATTATTTAACTAAAAATCCTTTGAGTTAAATATTTATTATTATTGAGTAATATTTTTAATACTATTTTAATTTTAATAAATATTAGCTACAAGCTATTAATTCATTAAATATATAAATACGTATTAAAATTATAAAATATAAAATATGAAATAAATTTAAATGTAGAAATTCTTACTCAGACGTTATTGGATTGAGGAATTATTCAAAACCAAAGTTTTTGTAACAAATGTTTATGGTTGCAAAATGAATTAAGTGTGCTACATGTTAAATAGTTTCATATATTTTAATAAAATATTATGACGTTTTAAAATAAAATTAATATTTTCAATATAATTTTAATTTTAAGAAATATTTTCTACAAGCAATTATTTTTTATTATATAATACATAAAGTGATTTATATAAAATATAAAATTAGAAATTATATTTAAATGTTAGAATACTTACTTGGGTATAATAGGGTTAAAAAAAAGGTCAAAGCCAAGATTCTTGTACCAAATGTCTATGGTTTCGTTATAAAACGCATTAAGATTACTACATGTTAAATAGACTAAGTAAGAATCATTTTTGTTAGAGCATTCCGTAATTTGATTTGTTATCGAATTAGTTTCTATAAAAGTGTCGATTAAATTATTATTTTGAAACATAATGTTTACTTTTTCTGATGCTACTGCATAAAATTCATTTAAATTCTTAAATTTCGTTTCAGAGTCTTTAAGATTTGGTAAGCTATTGAGATCAAATGATACAGTCTCTGATGTATATTGTAAGACAAATTGTTTAAAAAAATCAATTTCATCAACTATAGCATTTGGTACATTGTTTCCATTAAACACATATCTTACATCTATTTCACTTATAAACTTCATTGCGTTATAGAGGTTTTCAAACATAGTCTTGGAATTTTTCACTTCTTCTACAAGTGATGTTACACAACAAATAAAATTTTCCCATAAATTTTCATCACGAAATTGCTTACATTGTTGAAGAATAATATCTATGTAATTGAGGAATTTTTTTAGTATTCCTGTATACTTGAAATTGAGTACATTTATTGTATAAGAATACTTATCTCTGAAATCATTCATGTATCCTTCTGGTAAGAAAGCTTGTCTAAAAGAAATATTATTTTTAAAACATTGATTTAGTTTTAGATTTTGCTTTTCATTCAATACAATTTGTGAATGAATGTAACTAATGACAGTATTGATGTAGTTTTTATAATCATCATGATAATCTGTACTTAGTTTTGCTTCATATGGTTTCAACACGAAAGCAACAATAATTACAAAAGTTATAGAATAAAATTCCATTAAAAAAAAATAATATTAATACTAACTCATTTGATACTTTAGGTGATTTAAAATGAACATATTCGAATGTACGTAACATAATTTTATAATATTCATTTGTCAGTAAATAAATGTATGTATAAATCTTTTTTTATAATGGTATAAAAATATTTCGATCCAAAATGGCGTATCTTTTTATGTTTTAGTAATTTTTTTTACAATATATAAATGATATTAAATCCTTTAAATAAATTTTCACTTTGCTAACAAGAACTTTTTGTACTATATAATATTATTTTGTATAACGAATTCTAATAATTTCTGTTAGAAATTGTATTTTAATAACAGTTTTATTTAATAGAAAAAATACAAATAGAGATAATTTAGCTAATATATTTTATAATATAGTAGTACTTTACAATTCAACTGTTTTAACTATTTCCAAATGAATTTGAACATCCTGCTAATTCTATTATTAGTTTTGTATATAAATTTTCAATTTAAAATAAATATATTGCTTCACGATTATTCTAATTCATTGTGTTATGTGGCATCTTATAAATCATGTCGCAGTTGGTTTTACGTTTTTATTTTTATTTATATACAAAATAAAAACGCGTGGGTTTTCTTAATGTTAGCTTCGATGCGAAGCTGAGAGAAATTAATTTTACTATGATGTGTTTTTTTTATTATTTTTTTTTTGTGCCTGTGAACGCTCGATATTAGCTCTCGCTGGACCGATTTTGATGAACAATATGTCAAAATATCACAAATCGTATCTAGTCGAAGACTTTACCCTCAAAAATTGAAAAAAAACCCTCGCTCCCCGTAAACGGGGAAAATCCCCCAAAAGATTACAAATATAAAAAACGCTAATTTTCGAAATTTTTTCAATTTTTTTTACTTAAAACTGCCATAACTTTTTCAAAAATGAACAAATCAATATAATTTTTTTTTTATATAGATGAATAATGTCTTTAAATACCATTTGATGAATTTTATTTATTAATTAGACCCTTTACCTGCCCACAAGGAGGGATTCAAAATGACAAACTTTTTCACAAAAAATTAATTTTTGAAAGTGTTCTGGAAATACTGACACTTTTATATATAACTTAAATTAAAGCTAATGTAACATACTTTATTATGGAAAAAAGAAATTTCGGACTTTATTTTATCTTCACGGTGAAAATGGCTACGTATGCTATTTTTGTGTTAAAATTATCGATTTTATATTTTACATTTTTAACTTTTAAATACTATAACTTTTTGAAAAATGTATGGATCAATACAATTTTTTTATAAGAAATAATATTTATATACTTCCTTCATTCAACATACTTTTTTTTTTTAATTGGACCATTTCCCTTAATACAGGGTGTTCAAAACATATAAATGCATGTAGAAGGTAGAACTTTTTCAACTTAATTTTTGAAAGTGTTCTGGAAATACTGAAACTTTTATATATATCTTAAATTAAAGCTTATGTAATATACTTTAATTTGAAAAAAAAAAAAGAATTTGACCTCTAGATTTGTCTTCATGGTAAAAATTACTAATATACTTAAATATTAAAAAAAATTTCGTACTTTAATCATTGTCAGATATCATCTATACTGGACCCAACTATGCCACGACACCACTGTGCTGGGTTTTTTTTTTGATTTATTGAGTGAATCAATTAATAATTCAATCAAACAATTTTGATAGTGTGGTGGTACATTTTTGTTGTATATATGTACTAGGGTAGATAATAATATTTCGTAATTTTTCATTATTTCTGTAAATCTACATTTTAATAAATGCATTACATGTTCTTTTTTTTTTCACTAAACAATTTACGTTATTAATTTGGTTTTTCATAATTTAATCTACGCTGAATTATTCACCATTATAAATTATATTTATGTGATCCAATTTTTTTAATTTTTTTTTTTTAATACCTCACTATAACCTGTCCACGGGGGATTCAAAATAGTAAATTGTTCAACTTAACTTTTGAAAATGTTCAAGAAATGATGCTCCTTTTAATTATATGTTAAATAAAAGCTTATATTACGTACTATAAGTTAAAAAAAAAATTATCGTGACGAACTATCGTCTATGTACAAATGACCATTGTTGAACAAATGATTCAATATTTAATAAATAAGTTTTAATTTATTAAATATTTATTCATGTGTTACATTTATTATTCATAAAACTTCTAACCAGCATATAAATAAGGAAATATGAGTTAATTTTTCTTTTGGAATAATCCATCAATTTTTTAAAATTAAATACAATCTACAGATTTGCGTCGCAGCGATTTTTATGATAGTGATTATAATCACTGTCAGATATCATCTATACTTGTCCCAACTAAGCCACGTCCACACTGCCGCGACCCCACTGTGCTACCGCTTTTTATATTGCGTGTGATCGTAAGTAGGGTAAAATAGAGGATTTCGGATCCCCGCATCATTCCCCACTAACGGTCTTTATATAGAGAAAAGGTGTGGCTAAATGTTCCAAATTGAAAATCAGATAAACCTTTTTTATTAGGACAATAGCAATCCTGTCTGTATATTATCAAAGGTGCAGCTATCACATCTAGGAATTTTATTTTCGGCAACCAGGGGCTTTGGTTAGCATATTAACATTGAAAGTACTACCACACTTACTGCTTACCATCGGTCAATACTATATATTGCAAATAACTTCTGAAATACTGTTTTAAAAGCTATGATGTATGATTCAGAGTGTTGAGCAGTTGATAAAAAATTAGAGGAGAGAATGAGTGTAGTGAGTAGAGAAGATAGGATAAGAAACGAACATATAAGAGGGATTATAGGTGTAACGTCAATTGTATATAAGATAAGAGAAAATAGACTTAGATGGTTTGTCATGTTATGAGGAAAGAGGAATCGGAAGTCGTAAGAACAGTTATAGAAATGAATGTTGAAGGAAGAAGAGGTAAAGAAAGACCAAAAAAGTGATGGAGGAATGTAATTGAATGTGATATGAGGCCAGCTGACATGAGCATAGATGATGTGGGTGATCATGTCAAGTGGAAGTTAAGGATAAGTGTGGCCGACTTCAAGTAGTTGGAATTAAGGCAAGAAAAAAGAAGGAGAAGAATATCTATAAAATAAACTAATTAATCGTGTATGAATGAATAAATATGACTCTCTTATAATTTATTAAACATTATTTTAAAAATTAATAATAGCCGACACATCAAAAAAAAATCTTTAATTAAAAAAAATCAATAATTTATTTTCCATTATAGTATTTATTTTGCGAGTATTTGAGAGGTTGATAATAAATTGATCATTCTGTATATACAATATACACGAAATCAACATATGTTTTCAGTATTTCGTTGTATTTGTAATTGAGTATGTAACGTAATAAAATTATCATGAGTATAAGGTACCAGGTGACCATATTCAAACTTTGCGCTTCGTACATTTGTAGGGTCAGTGTTACACATACACACATAATTATTTATTAAATTGAGACATGTTTCCTACCACCTGTGATTCTTATCCTAAATACCATATCTGTCAACGGCCACACTGTCAAATACCCTTTCCCAATTGTGATCAAGCCGGGATAAAAAAAAATCACGGTTATGTTCAAAATTATCTTCAACATCATTCATTCTCTTTATCATCGTCGTCTTATCAAATTTTTACGTGTCTTTACAAATTCACGATAGAGGAGTAAATTTTCAATTGACAAATGATGACAAATGTTACCTGGACTTGGACATTCTGAACAAAATGTAATATGGTATATTTGATCTAATGTATTCCCGCATAGTGTCAATTATTTTTTTGAAAGGAAACCTAAGGCGTTGGATGCATGACTGTCTGTACACAGCTTATTACACATGATAATGGTAAAGCATTCTAAATTGTCTTATCTTTTTGTGGACATAATGCTTACTAGAATTAAAAAACACTTTATCGCTTGAAGTAATATTATTTGAATAATTTTCAATCTATACATTTTTTGACTGATGGAGTAACATTAAATTTATGATATTGTGTATATATATTTCCCTCTTGAATCTTTGGCTATTATTTCATAACTACTTTTATAATGTCTATCTTAACTTTAATATTTCAAACTGTTTTTTTTTTGTGATATATACATTGACAATAGGTTATATACTTGAATCATATATTTAATTTAGTACATTTTGATATGTAGTTTTATTTATCAGTTAATTTTATTTTTATTTTTATCTGTTCATGATAACTTGTAATATTTAATAAATTTTAATAATTGTACTAAATTATAAATCTTATGTATAACATTTTCCCCTAGGATAAGGTATCAAAATCCCTGGTGCTCCGGCTTTACCTCGGCCCATGGTGGACCCTCCTCGGCGTTCTTGTAATTTTAGATTACAAGTTTAATAATTGTGCTACAAATATAACTATTTATATTGTAAACTTAACTATTTGAATTGAGTGGTTGTTTTATATATACAATCATAAACTAAAACGAGTTTTTGAACACCTGTTTTAATCATATAACACGGAATTTATCAGGATCTTCCAAACGAAACAAATGCCGTTTTCAAAACCTTAACCAAACCAATAATTATTTAAAACCAAAACCGAAAACTTATTGAACAGTTGTTATATCTCAGCTAAAAAAACATTAAAATACACTCTTCTAATAATTTAATAGGCGGCAAATAAAAATTAATCAAATTAAATCTTCATTTGTTAAACTCATAGGAAAAAAATTTTCCGCCTGTTACTACAATATTATTAATATATACAAAGAATTTATCCGGTGACTAATGTAAGTGATCTTTTTAGGGAGTTACTGCAATATTATTAAAAATAAACACTAATAATTGTTATAAACGTTATTAATTATATATTTTATTTTTAGTATTTAATCAAATATTTTTAATATTATATTTTAATAAGTGAATAATTGAAATTTTTAACTACGTAATTAAAACAAAGTGGATAAGGAATTTATCTTATATACAATAAATTTTTCATCATGCTATTGTTGAGGTAGTAAACGTTATGCTATTAAAACCTAGATTTTCATAGCAATTTTCGTAAACACTTTTACAAAAACTGTCAAAAAAATTACACCCATTTTGATATATTTGTTTTGTTGATACAAAATTTTGATTAGTAATTTTTGAAAACCTGAAATCATTTATTAGTTTGAATTTTTCAAGATAAGAATTTTCTAGAACACAACGCTCACTCATATGACTTGTATCATTTCTTAACTCTCTATAGAATATATCACGAAAAATTAAAAAGTTTTTTAGAATTTTTTCAACATTCTCGGTTATTGGTATTTCATTATATTCGTTTTTATCTTTAGAAAACTCATTGTTATTCAATAAATTTAGAAAATCTTTAGCCCAATCAAATATTTTCTGTAAATTCGATTGAGAGTTTACATTAAAACTCCATATTGATGACTCATTTAAAGTAGTTATAGCAGATTTCAATCCATTAAACATTGTTTTTGATTTATTGAGCGAGTCAAATAATTCAACCAAACAATTGTGATAGTGACGATGTGCATTTATTTGGCATATATGTAGTATGGCAGAAACTATTATATCGTAATTTTTTATTATCTCTGTATACCTACATCTCAATAATTGTATTATATGTTCTTTTTTCACTCGAAAATTTATGTTATTAATTTCGTCTTTCATTATAAAATCTACACTGAATGATTTACCATTATAAATAATTTTTATGTGATTCATTGTTTTCCAACCAGATTCCTGACGAAGAATATTTAAAACTTTAATTCCATCATTTTGATTTATTTTTGGGTCTAATGGAGGTGTAAATCTATATAAATCAATAATTAATAAGATTATTATATCAATATATAAATGAATTAATTTTAAATTTATTAATAAAACATAGTTTTTTTTATTAATTTTATTTTGTAAAAAATATAAAAATATTTAATTGGAAAATTGTTAAAAAATTAAAAGAGAAAAAATAAAATAAAAATCTAAATGGTAGTATTTAAGGTCATTTATTAAAAGAATGATTAAATAACAATTTAATATTAAATAAAAAAAATATGAATTTTCTATCTTCTTTATATTTTGTTTTTTATTTCTTTGAAAGATAATTATTTTCAATTTTGTAGATACGCTTTAGAATATTTATTTAAAACGATTTTCGTATTTGCCTAACTAAACATCAACTTAAAATTTAAAAATAAACTTTTTGCAATTTAAGTAATAGTATAAAGTTAAACATTAAAATTATACAAATATTAATTTAAAACTAAAAAATATAAAAATATTTTAATAAATTATTTTTTTACCCTTAATATTTAGTAAGTTTATTTAATAGTATTTTATACTTAAGTTATATTCTTAATATAACTTCATTTTCAGGAAATATTATTCACAAGCTATCAATTTTCATTGAATAATATATAAAGTAATATATTTATATAATATTATAATTTATACTAAAATGTTAGAATACTTACTTGGGTATAATAGGGTTAAAAAAAAGGTCAAAGCCAAGATTCTTGTACCACATGTCTATGGTTTCGTTATAAAACGCATTAAGATTACTACATGTTAAATAGACTAAGTAAGAATCGTTTTTGTTAGAGCATTCCGTAATTTGATTTGTTATAGAATTAGTTTCTATAAAAGTGTCGATTAAATTATTATTTTGAAACATAATGTTTACTGTTTCTGATGCTACTGCATAAAATTCATTTAAATTCTTAAATTTCGTTTCAGAGTCTTTAAGATGTGGTAAGCTATTGAGATCAAAAGATACAGTCTCTGATGTATATTGTAAGACAAGTTGTTTAAAAAAATCAATTTCATCAACTATAGCATTTGGTACATTGTGTCCTTTAAACACATATCTTACATCTATGTCGCTTATATACTTCATAGCGTTGTAAAGGTAGTCCAACATAGTATTGGAATTTTTCACTTCTTCTACAAGTGATGTTATACAACAAATAAAATTTTCCCATAAATTTTCATCATGGAATTGCTTACATTTACGGAGAATAAAGTCTAGGTAATTGAGGAAGGTTTTAAGTATTTCCGTATACTTGAAATTTAGTATACTTATTGTATTAGAATAATTCTCACTGAAATCATGCATGTTTGTGCCTGATTGGAATTCTATTAAAACAACTGTATTATTTGTATTATTATTTGATTTTAGATTTAGCATTTCATTCAATTGAATTTTTGAATGAATGTGACAAATCACAGTTTTGATGTAATTTTTATAACTCTCACGATATTTCGAGTATTGTTCTGAAATATCTTGTTGCATAATAAAAATAGCCACACAAATTAAACAATAAAACTTCATTTAAAACTAAATAGTAAAATTAAAGCAACTTATTTGAAACTTTGGAAGATTTAAAGTGAACATATGTAAATGTGTTCAATATTATTTTATATCATTGATTTTTAGTATTAAAATTTGTATAAAGTATATAAATAATTTTTGCGTCACTAAAAATATATAATTTACTATAAATTTTAATTTAATTGTAATAAAAAGATAATGAATAGCTAACATATTTATTGTTATAGTAGTGTTTTATTTAAAATTTTATATTCTTTGCTAAAATTGGACCAAATTGAAATTCTGTTCTGCTATTTTAAAACAATTATGAATATTTTTATAATATTATTATTTGTTTATGGGTTTCATGGACGTCTACGCGGTGGAAAACTTTCGTAGCTTGTCGTTAGCTTATAATCTTGCTAATTTATTAAATAAAAGTTTTAAAACAGTAGCACAATGTGGCATTGTTGGGTTATTTATTAATTCTAATTAGTATTTCTATGATTTATAAATATAACATATGAATAAATATCTATTATTGCAATCAAAAATAGTGTGAGATTGATTTTTAATAATTTAGTATTGTAATTTTTACGCAGAAATTATAAAAAATCATTACTTATTATAAAGTAGTTATTACTTTTATTACAAAAATGTATCAATATTAAAATCTTTAAAGACTCTGATTGTTTATTATAAATAAATTTACTGGTCTACAAGGAATTTTCATCAGAAACCAAAATATACTTTTCTATACTACAAAGTGTAAGATCACATATCAATCTAAAAAATAGAATGTTTTATTCTTCATAAAATTTTCTATTTAATGATATAAATTCTAAAATTACAAGATGAGCTAATTTAGTGTTTAAAAGTTCAAATTTTTTTAATTATGAACTTTTATAAAAATCAATTTTGAAATATAAATAAAAATTAGTTAAAAATCACATTTTGAACTGAAAATTTTCATAGATTCTATTAAAAAATTTATAATAACTTGATAAAAATTTTTTTTTCAAAATTTCAAGTGTATATGAATATTTGCTCTCTAATTAATAATAATCTCAAAAATAAAGTAATAGAGACAATCTATTTTCAGACTTGAAATAAAATTGAAAAATTTGTTTTAGTAAAGTATTTATTGGTCTATGATTATTAAAAAATATTTCATTTTAGCGATTTTATTTTACTATGTAATTCAGTATAAAAACAAATTTTATAGTTTTTTCTATTAATATGTAGATATTTTTTAAAAAAAAGTTATTTTGAAGTGACCATTTATTACAGTAGCATATTTTTAAGGTATTTGTATAAATTACTAGAATTAAAGGATTTTTCCAATATTTGGTGATTATAAGTTCAACATGATTAAAATCGTGTTTTTTGACGTATTGGTCATTAAAATTGGTTATGTGAGAACTGAGAAAAATGAATGACTTACATAAAAACCATATAGTAAAATATATTAATATGAATAAAGATTTTTTTCTTAGAAGGGGAGACTACAGTGATAGAGTCCTCGATATTCATTGAATATTATATTTGAACGTTAATTATTATTATTATTAATTTTGAATTTTTTTCCATCTCAAAAAAGAATCAAGAAAAAAATGCATAAAAAGTTATTTTAACTAGCGGAATTTGAACTTCATACTGCGAGTGTATAAGACTATATTATACAAAGCAGCTACCGTGCATTACATATATAAGTAGATAAAATAACTATTTAAGCTAATTCAAAAATTCAAAGTCGTTTTTCTTAACTTTGAGAAGGTAAAATAATCAAAATAAGTTTAAACTTATATTTAATTTAGTTAGATCCATATAACTTTTATACAAATTAGTGGATTCATTACTATGACAAACCCATGTAAAATATTAAAAAAACACATTTTGAATACAATAAAAACATGTTTTTTAAACTACGGCAGCTATTTGCATGAAGAAAATAAGTCACCGGGACAAGTATTTTTTTTTAAATTTTTAATACGTAACATGAGCTTTAATTTAACATATATTTAAAAGATACAGTATTTCTGGAATATTTTTAAAACTTTTTCAAAGTTGAAAAAATTGACTTTTATAAAAAAATTATAAAATAAGTTATATAAGTTATAAAAAGTTGCTATTTTGAATCTTCCTTGTGGATAGGTTAAGTTCAACAAAATTATATTAAATTAAAGGAGAATACTTAAGGTTCTTTTTTACGATATGATTTGCCATTAGGGCTTTTAACTCATTTTAAGTTTTATTGCCCAAGTAATGATTTCTGGCAATTTTATTGTGGGCGCTTGATTTAAATGTTCCTTTTATGTCGGATTAAATTTAGTGATTAGTTTTACAAGATTTAGAAAATTGTCACTTCTATCTGAATTGTCTAAAACTATTGTTTCTATATCACCTCTTAATATTAAATTGTGAGAAGCAAAAAACTATACTATTGCTAAGAGCCTTTTTATGATATCTTTCCAGCGTTGAGCTTCAGATTTTATTTAAGCTTCAAACTCTCGATCGATGGTTTTTTGCACTTTCAAACGCTTTTTTAGATCAAACCATTTTAACATACACTCTCTGTGAACTTTGTTATTTTCGTGACTTTTTTAAGTTACGCTGAAGTGTTGCCAATCATTAGAACTTTTCTTGGAACTTAAGGCACTCTTGGAGATATCAGAAAATAAATGACATTCAAAGCAGTGAACAGAATAATTTGATTTAGAGTAAATAAACCATCGTCTCTTTTGCTGCTCACTTTTTGACAAATGTCTAGTGTAGTAAATGTCGCTAAAATATCGTCCACTTATATTTTTTGGTAACACTTTTCTGTAGTGTATGCAGGGCCTTTTTCAATAATTCTAGTTTGCTTTGATTGGGATAAATAGCTTGGCCATAAATAGGGATCACTTAAAGCATAGATGTTATTGGTTTCATAATTTTCTTCAGTCTTAGATTGATTACATTCCTTATTTTTTAGATTTGGGGATAATGATGTCAAAGACAAATCTCTCGAAAACAGTGATTCTAGTATCGGTTGCTTAGGTGATCTCTGTTTTAGCTACAGTTTTGAAATTACAACACAGACTGTGTGGTTGACGAAGATGGGCTTGCATGGGTAGAATCATGTCGTACTTTGTGACTTTCTAAACTTGTACGATATAATCCTAATATACCAAAAGTAACAGTTTTTTTCGAAGTTTCAATTTCACTAATGTTGTTAGCAATTTCAGTTTTTAGAAACTTTGTCATCAAATTACGAAGCTGACCTTAAAAATCTCTCTTTTTTTAAGCTTTTTTCTTTTGACACTACCAGAATCATATTATCTTCCTACATCTCGATCTTTTACTTAACTTACACTATACAGTGTCATATTAAGGTGGCTCTTATTTTATAAACTTTCATAGATCGATCTCCGTACCCGTCAATTTTTTTCGATATTATATGTAAGTCATTTGGGTAAACTTTGGTTTTGATAACTTACCCCCTTCAGGTACCGAATCGGGAGTGAAAACTCACTCAAAATGGTAATTTTTCAGTTTTTCATTATTATTTCTAATACTAACACACTTAGAGTGTTATGAATACTTAACTTAGTTTTAATATTGTCCCACAATTGTAATAACAGATAATCATAAATTGAATTGTAATTGAGGTCGGCCTAAAAGAATGTGTCTATAAAGTATTTTTCGGTGTTGCAAAACCGGGAAGTGGGCCGACTGCGACGATTGTAATGCAGAGCATCGTCAGTCATTTGACAATTATTGTATGAATACTATCACTTTTATTTTTAATAAACTAATTAATTATTCGGCAATACTATTTTATTTTATTCTATTTGTTACTCTCGTAACAAGCGTAAAAATATATAAAATATAAATTATATGTTTTCTTTAAAAAAGATATTTACAAACATTGTCTAAAATTATTTTTACTTGCTCAAAAAAATAAAATAGGAAATTAAAAAAAATTTTGTTAAAACTCACTTTTAGAACATAAATCATTCTTAACTTTCGAAATAATCACTTTACAACAAAATGTTTCGTATAAAATATATGAACAATTACATTTTCTAAAACATTAGTCATACGTAAAATTATAGTCAGATTTATAGTTTTGCTGTTATGTGGAAATTTATATATACATTTACATTTACATAAGTGTATTTATCAATGGTATTTACATAAATACCATTGATTAAAACTGTTAATTTAGCGTATTACGATTATAATTAGGGCACTTCCTCCGATAGCTTTTACGGTCTGCAAAAAATAAATAATAATTAGCATATATTTTAATTAATAAATTTTTGAAATATAATAAATATTTTCATTTTTACTAGTAGTAAAAATTACTTTTCCTCTTCGCGTTTTGTTAAAGGCAAAATTATTGTAGTTATTCATTAGTTTTATATGACGCTTGGCCGTATCGTTAACTACTACCATTGCTGCAATTATTTTTTTACCTTTTTCATTTCCTTCCTAAAATTGTGGGTCTATTTTTATGTTAAATTGACTAAAAAATTGTGAAGATATATCTGTTATTAAGTCGACTGGTAAGTCCTTCGATAAAAAACGTGACAAATCATTGATTTTTAAATTAATTTTTTTATCACTTATTTCTTTGAATGATGCAGTTCTATTTAAAATTTAAAATTTTTAATATTTTTTTTTTTTGCTGTATGATTAAATAAAAATCGATAATTGTAAAAACAACACATTTATCGCTAAATTATCATAAGTGGTTTATAATTTTTTTTTATAACAACTATCTACTTATCATCTATTTTATAATTATTAAATGTTTTTAAAATGTTATGTCATTTACGGAGCTTCAATTATATTAGGGCAGTAAACCAGATTTGGGACTAACATTTAATAATGAAACAACAGATCCGTTTTAGAGTCATTTAAACTGTTTTTTAAATAGTCAAATTTTTAATGAAAAAATTCCTTTTTTTATCCAACGTGTTATGTGATCTGCTCCAGGTGGATAAAATGTTCTAGTCATGCTTAAATTTTCTTTGAGTAATATTACTATAAGCTCCAGAAATTTTCTATAGTCATTGTAAGAAAATAGTT